TCAATGGCTCCACTTAGCGACACGAATTCGGTGCCGCAACTCGACAAACAGCTGTGTGGCGCCACACAATCTCTAACACGCGGACGTGCTCCTAAGCCTTCCCGCGTTAACACATACATTTACTCACACTTACACGCATGCATTCCCATACTTGCACACCGGCACACATGCATACCCAACTCTTCCGTAACAATATACAGTCGCGATTATATACTCATATTCAGTAAATTTTATTGACAAGAATTTCTAATTCTTTTTAAATAACACCTCATACATAACATTGAAATGTTTAGCAAGCCAATGCAACGGGTCATTTTTATTTGATGGAGTTTCTATTCTTATCGGATTCGTCTAATTATAAAACTTTGTAGTATATAGATACACGTTAAAAAATACCTGGACACTTCCCCCACTCCACTGTAGAAATTTTAACAAATATATCTCACAGACAGTAATTATTATACTGATTTCTCTCCATATCGGTATTCAGTACTTGTGCGAGACTAAGCTAACTTTAGAAAATACTAGCAGTAGAACCCGACGTTGCCCGGGGATGTAACAGTAAGAGATAGATCAAGTATCGATCATCGTAAAGACTGAAAAATAAAATTGACAAAGATTATTGTTTAAGGTTGACGAACACGCATGTCTTAATTAGTTTTTTTTTTTTTTACGAATTGGTCAAACCCAAACTCAAACAAAAACATTGTTTTCAATCGTTATGAATCTACCGACTGAATAGAATTTTAATATAAACAATTGTCTTGTAAATGGAATTTTTCAAGCATTCTGAATGTAAAAAATAAAGAAAAAAGTGTGCAAGACAATAAGAAACACTACCTGCCAAAAAAAGTGAAGTTTTGTTGAAATCGGTTGAAAAATGTAGGAAATCCGATCCCATATATAAACACACACACACACACACACACACACACACACACACACACACACACACACACACACACACAAAAAAAAAAAAAAAAAAAAAAAAAAAAAAAAAAACAAGAAAAAAAAACCTGGGTTTTATAATAAGTATAACTCGATATGAGTTGTCCCCCTTTCATTCTCGCGATAGCCTCTTAATCATATTTTCAAATTGATTTCATGCAAAAACAATTGTGTTTTTCCAATTCTTGACGCTGTCAGAACCACCGCAAGGTAATTTTACGTAGTCCTGCGAAGTTTTGTTGAAATCGGTTGAAAAATGTAGGAAATCCGATCCAATATATAAACGTACACACACACACACACACACACACACACACACACACACACACACACACACACACACACACAACCTGGGTTTTATAATAAGTATGATCAATATTAAACACTCATACCTGCACTTAGTATTACATACATTATTATTTAGAAAATAAATATGAAATTCAATGAAATCTTCAGTTAAATATATGAAAGTTTAGTGTTATATTTGAGTTTCAAATAGATGCACCTGAACGATTATTTCTTTTGGGACATCTAAATTGCAACCCGAGACATGCATATTGCAACTCACGAATCCAGATCACAAACCGTTACATCCATATTACAAATTGGTATCCGTATTGCAATCCGGGACATCCATATTGCAACACGGAATATCCATATTAAAAAACGGGATATCAATATGGCAAACTGAGACATCAATATTGCAAACAGGGACATCCATATTGCAACACGGAAAATCCATATTAAAAACCGGGACATCAATATTGCAAACTGAGACATGAATATTGCAACTCGAAAAATACATATTAAAAACCGGGACATCAATATTGCAAACTGGGACATAAATATTGCAACATGGGATATCCATATTGCAATCCGGTACATCCATATTGAAACCCGGTACATCCATATTGAAATCACCCCTTTTATTGATCATGCAGGTAAATTTCTTCTGTCCATTAATTTCGACAGCGAAGATTCTAGGGCAAATCGTTTTATTTGAATATTTAATAAAAATGCTGTTTGGAATAAAGATATTCGAATATATACCAGAGTTTTCCAGTATATAACAGTCAAAGATACGAACAGATAGCATAGATTTAGTATAAATAATAAAAACGTCTAATATAATTATTGTCAATAACTCAGAACCTCAAAAATTCCACCCTTTATATATGTAAAAAAAAAATTCTGTTTATAAATTCTCATGTCTTATGGTAGAGTATATGCCCAATAATAATAATAATCAAAAAACAACATAAAATTCTTACATTGGCCACATGTACCACACTCTCTCGTAGGTTGACTTGTCTTTGTTTAAACTTTGTACAATTCATGCATATATTAGTTATCACATGTTATACAGCACTCACTGTAAAGAAAGTTTCAAAATCCTAGAAAACATTATAATACAAAAGAAAGAACAACATTAAATGAAATGTCTTTCTCCAGTATATTAAAGTGTTTATAAAATATTTAATAGGTGTACGATATATTTAATACGCAAAAATAATAAAAACACGTATAAATTTTCGATACATGCTTTTCTGTTTAACCGTTACATATTCCTTCACTTTGAACGGATTCCGGTTCTTGACAACACCATATTCTTGATGATGACTGAGATCGTCGAAGTA